ACCCCCCCCCCCCTAAAAAAAAAAAAAAACCTTTCTCACTTCCCTGATCAACGGTTTTTACCTAACAAAAAACCATCTAAATCAGACGTGGATTCATATTCCAAGATATCAAATCACTAGCTATCAATTCTAACACATTTAAGTCTTCTATTATGAGAAAAGGAATGTATGCAGCAGGAGCATGGAAAGGATAACAACTAATGATTCTCAACTTCATGCCACTATCAAAATCATGACAAAAATCAAATCCGTGTTCCCCAGACTAGAACCATATTGATTTCACAAAATACCAGTTCAAATGACCCAAAATGATCTAAATCTTTCTTTTTTGTTTATATGCACTTTGAAACAAAAGGTAGAATGAAATATAGAAATTTTGATCATATCAGCAGAAGCAGGACAGCAGCCACTCCCTAATCATGGAGGGGTAAAGTTGGTCAAAGGACTGACACTAGGAGCTAGCACATCTCTTTATGCTAGCAATGAGCTCAAGCACAACATCCTATCAATATCCACTAGGAGTGGCAAACGGGCAGGTCGGGTCGGATATGGTTCGAGTCGAAAACGGGTAACGAAAAACAGATAAATTATCCGACCCGACCCATATTTAATATGGATAAAAAAGGTTTAACCGGCAGATGATATGGGTAACCATATTATCCATGACTTCTTGCATAAGATCACTTTTGGGAGAATTCTTAGTCTCCCTAACTTAAGGAACCCCCAATTTGAGGCTTTACAAATGTAAAAGTTAGACCTATTGGTTATCCATTTTCTAAATGGATAATATGGTTCTTATCCATATTTGATCCGTTTTTAAAAAGTTCTTTATCCAACCCATTTTTAAGTGGATAATATGGGTGGTTAACTGTTTTCTTTTAACCATTTTGCCACCTCTAATATCCACATTACCATAATTTTAAGGCCTATGTACAGCAAACTGCATAACGTAATTTTATCATAACTATTGGCCATAGTATATTCGCCAACTTCTTGTGCTCAGTAAGGATGATTACATAGCTCATGAAAGGACAACTCAAGAGCAGCCAGATGCACTTCATCTAGAGTTGGCCAGACACTCGTGGAAAATGTCAGATGCGACTTGGACATAAAATAATAAAGAATTAAAAGTATATAATGGCAATATTTGTGAAACCACAATGAATAGAGAGACAAGCTGACACAGTAATGTAGGGGGGAATGGTTCTAACCAGTGGAACCTTGATGGTATAAACCTGGGCCTTCAACGAACAAGAAGCGACGAAGAACATCATCACGATCAACACCAGACACACTCATGTAAGGTTCAGCAGCCTTTGACTGCAAGCAACAGAACTTGATTTTCCTATCTCTGTCAGCTTTAATCACCCATTTCACACCTACATATAAAATGCCATGAAGCTCATATTAACTGAGACAGATTATTATGCATGCACCCCTCCTTTCCCATGTCTATGCCAAATGCAGTTTAGACCTACAGGATAGCCATTTCTGCATATCCAATGAGATAATCAATCAACTATGCCACAACCCCAAATTAGTTGAGGCAATAAGATATTGCTGAAAAGTTCAATAGAAACTAGCTTTCTATTTGCTAATATGTAGAAGTAAGCTTCGCCAAAAGAGACTCGTCACTTCCAAATGCTTGCCAACACACGCTCTAGGAAATTAAGCAAGCTACCTTCACTTGCATTCTCGAAATGATAGCTTCCACCACCTTTCTGACTACTTAAATTTATGTGAAAGATCGTGAAAACTCTTCAAATCCTAATTAGTTTGATTAGACATGTCATAAGCATAGTGGTTCCGTCAAAGCAGTCATTAATGCCTGAGGAGCCTCGGTCAGTGGAATACAGCTCAATATTAAAATTCTCACAGCTCAAATAATGCATGCTACTGAAAAGCACAAGATTCTTGGCAATCTGATTTCACTGCCAACATCATAGTCATAACGACCACAAAGAAATGCAGAAAACTGATAGTAACACTAAACATAAAGCTAACACTATGTTTTGCTCATAACGAAGGAAGTCACCTACTAGGATACTATTTGCCTTAACTACCCTGCTGTACAACTCGTACATACATCACATAGGATACACTCTATCACAAATAGCACATAGAATCCACAATACAACAACTTGAGCTTGTAATCGAGCCCCAGATGTTTTCTCCTCTCGATGATTGAATGTTAATCATTTCAAGTAAACAAACAGCATTCCCTCTGTTAAGCAAATCCAAATGTCAAGTCATCAAGCTAAAAATAGTTCAGAAGTTACACATACAGCTAGACACTATATATTTACATGTAAAATTGAAAATTTCACTTTCAAAACTACAGGATGATTGCAAATGTAACTAAAAACAGAAAAACAGTAGCAACAGACGCAATACTGTACTCATTTACAGCTTCCTAAGACACAATTGAAAAAATCAAAGCAATAAGCAAAGCACAAATGCAATATATAGCTACAAGCACCAATACACACACACACACTCTCTCTCTCTCTCTCGCCTCTACTTATTTACAGCTTTGAGGCACAATTGTAGTAAGAAACCAAAACAATAAGCAAAAGCATAAATGCAATGTATAGCTAAATGCACAAATACACACGCGCACACACACACACACTGTACTCATTTATAGCTTCTGAGACCAGTTATAGTAAGAAATCAAAGCAATAAACAAAGCACAACGCAATAGATATAGCTAAAAGCAAGAATACACACACACACACAGAGACACACAGTAGGAAGATGAGAATATTACAGTTGTGAGAAAGATGACAAACACCGTCATAGACAACGACGCCAGGCTGAAGTAGACTCTGATCAGTCTTCGGTTTGGAAGATAAGCGAGCTAATTCATCGCCGAGGAAAAAATCATCTTCGTCAAAGTCAGCAGCAGCAGCAGCAGCTGAAGCGGAATCCGAAGAAACACCAGCAGCATTCAAAGGAGAAGAGGAAGTTGTAAACGACGACGTCCAGAGGGAAGAAAAACACCGGCGGTGAGTCAACGGCGAGGAGGAATTCACATTTCCGGTCGTCGTTAGTAACCGTAAACCTCTCTTCAGCATCAACAGCTTCATCATCACGCTTCCTGTGTGTTTCGTGTGGATGAAGTTTCAGTTTTCGTGAGCTCCAAGTCGGTGCTCTCTCTTTTACATATATACAGGAAATGGAAAGGAAAGAGTGCGGGACGCTGTGTTTGCATACGTGGCAAACATCGAGGGTTCTTCAAAGAACTTATCCAACGGTGGAAATTTAGTTATATCTATAGCTGTACATTTATTTCCTTATTTCTAGAGATTTGGAAAGTCATTATTGCAGTCTTTCTAACTTTTAAATACTCTTTTTAGCGGTAATATTTAAATTTCTTTTCTAACTTCACTCAGGATAATTATTATAATAAAAACATACCAATACTTTTCTTGTTTTAAAATGTTTAAGTGTAAAAGAAATAGATATATATTTCAATATATACATTCTTATAAAAAGTCGTGTAAATTTTGAATGTGCTCTGCAGTCACTATTACATAAGAACCCCTTGTGTAGTCAACTACTTCAATTTAGGCCATATGGATTGAGCGAAAGTCATAATCACGAATTCTTCATCTTCTACTCTATGGTGAGTCATTCCTAAATTGTAGTCTTTTATTTAAAAGCAACTTCTTCTTTTTTTGGTTATACTTCTCAATTCTTCTGATCAGATCGCTCTACAGTCAACTCCATACAGCCTTCTCACCAGTTACGGGGTTTGATGGCCTGAAATTGACAAAAAGAACGTTTCACAGTTCAATGAAGGGAGAAATCCAAAAATAGCCAGATTTACAAGTGGTTATTCAAAAATAGTCACAGTTTCAAAAGTAATCAAAATTTAGCAACTTTTCATGTAAAGATAAATCTGAACGAACACACTGTTCGAAATCCGAAAAATACTCCAGCATAATATACTGGAACTGGAGTTCCAGCATAATTATACTGGAACTCCAGTACAATATATTGGAGTTCTAGTATAATATACCAGTCCAACATAATATGCTGGAAGTTCATACACAGGTGCTCCAACCTCCAGTATATTATGCTGGAACTTTCTGGACTTTGCAAACGCTGGCTATTTTTGAATGACCAGTCTGAAAACTGGCTAGCCCGTGCTATTTTTACTTCAATGAATCCTCTCTACGTATCTGATGGGCTGGTTAAGACATTAATTATGGTTTAAGCCTTCACAATATAACAGATATAACCTTACAAATGACAGAGATGATTTGCACCAATAATTTCCACGAGTCTTTCTTTGAGTGTCTGGGGAACATTGAGTGGCACATAAGAATTCAAAGTCAATAATAGTCGTAGTAACATTTGTTGTTGGTGCCAGTTATGAGACCATATCCAATAACATTTACATAATAACCTAATTGCAATAAGATTAATCTAACGTGGACATTAAATCACCCTCAAGATTCTGCAAAGCACTGGACCTAGTGGTTAGCGCGTAGAAATCCTTGTCTGCACCATCACTACATTTCTGCCCATGTAATTTAATACGGGTCTCTTTTGTGCCTGTCATTTCTCTATCTCCTCCTGAATTTGACCCTCTGCATTAACAGATGTAGTTAAGATAAAACATTGATGACCACTCAAAATGACCAACTCCAAGTCCGAAAGAAAGTTTAACTCTCACCAGCAAGCTCGACAGCCAAGTTTGCCTGCTGATCCGCATCGGAGTTTGATTCCTATTAGGAGTCAGAGGCATATCGAATCTCCAGAAAATCAGCAAGTAGAAGATATAGGTAATGCGAAATGTATGTAGTTCTTGGGCTATTATAGAAAATGCTTGTGACAGATAAAGTGAGACAATGTCTTGATGAGTTAAATTGTGCAGAAGAAAGTAGAGAAGGATTTTTAATGAATTACCCGAAGAACATGAATGATGCGGAAAGAAAGGAACCTATCCTTCAGTTGTTTTGCCTGCTCAAACACCGTGGCAATGTTTTGATTTTTAACCTTCCACAGACCTTGTATCTGTTTGGAAAGTACACTAGTATAATATCAATGGGATCAAAATGGACAAGAACAAGAAACCTAAAATAAACTAACAGCGGACAGCTAATAAGCAGGAATCTTATAAAAGAGAAATTTTCTCATTCTAAAATTTCTGGTGTCTATTTTTTCTCTACTCTCTTGAAATTTTTCCAGTACCAGGAATCTTTTTTTGATGCACCACAAAATATCAGACTCCCCATTACCAAAAGTTTCATTCCAGTACCAGGAATCTACTTCTGGATTTTTCCTATTATGCCAACTTATTTCAGCCCATCCTTCATTAGTATTGTCGTAAAACCATTATTAATCTCTTGATAAGATTCCCCATTTCTTCACAATAATATATTGTCATGCACTTAAACCGAACTTGAGTTGACAGTGGTAGCTGAGACCTACCCATAAATACCTTCTTTTGGGGGATAAGTACTATTTTACCCATAATCAAAGTTATCAAACTTTTCTTCTTTCTTCTCTAACCCAGTGGTTCAGTTAGTTCACAAGGAAATTATAAGTACAATATACCAGAGAGGTTAGAAGAACCTTATCCCATACAGATGAAAAATTTAAGGCAGAACCGCAGAAGAGACTTGAGGAAATGGCACTATGGCACGAAATTAGTGAATAACTTCAAGAAGTAATGAACACACAGTCAGAAAAATTGTTAAATAGCTCACTACCAACTTCCTGGATTTCAGCTAAAAGATTAAAGAACGTAGTTAAGTTACTGAATGTTGAGAGTACAAGAGAATGTGACAAGTTTTGAACAGCAGTGAATCACAAAGGAAGAATCTCAAGCAAGGAAAGGAGAAATACACGACTGAGTACATGATTATAGAAAACAAACCTGCATACAAACAAGCTTGGAGTCACCCTGAACACGAATATTTGTAAACCCTTTACTAAGTGCATATTTCAAACCCAAAATAAAGGCCCTGTATTCAGCATGATTGCTGGTTGCCACTCCTAGACCTTCACGTAGCCTGCAGGTCTATTAGAAGAAAGGTTGTAAATACAACTAGGAGATCAAAGGCAAAAGTACAATTCAAAAGTTAGTACAGTAATTATTACCAAACTTCCATCATCAGCCCGTATAACAGCTCCTGCACCAGCTTGTCCAGGATTTCCTTTTGAAGCACCATCAAATTCAAGAGTACAAGACCGCTGCTGAGGGTAACAACTATCAGATTCTTTATACCAGAATAGCACAAACCATAAAGAGAAATAATAAGATTTCAGCCTTAAGTATAATGTCATTTTGCTTTGTCAATTACATATAAAAAACATTTATGTTTAAAGATTAGCCACTCACACCGGATGGTAGAGCTAGAACTTGGTCACCCTTATGATGTTCGATCTTGACATGCTTTCTTATGGAATCATTTGGAATAACTGCTGATCCAACAGCATCCTGCAAATGAAGATGCCAATAAACAACATAATTTCCAAAACAGTGCGGAGCCAAACACATTTTATCCGGGCAGAATATGCAAGTGATCAGCGTTACAACTATTTTAAGCCAATATACATGGCATCTTTGCAAATCACAGGTAGTAGAATACAATACTGCAAAGAATACAATCCACTGGCTGCAACTTTATGTGATCCATGTACAGTACGATATTGCAATTCATCCAACTATATAATAAATACCGTCAAGATGTTCTATTTCCAATAGGCAGTAACATTTTTTCTTTAATACTTAATGTAGACTTCTTGAAAGTATTAAGCCTTTCCCTTTATCACTTCCAAAAACTCCCTTTCAATTTCAACTTCAAATACTCTTCAGCTTCAACCAAACATTGTCAAACCGCCTACCACGGCTCTAAGCGAGCACATAACAATAATTAGCTAATTACACTGATCTCCGCTCCAATAAAAAAAAGTAAAAGGATCCCCCATCTAGTCATATAGCTACACTGCATCCCAAAAATTCAAGGAATTGTTACAGGTCTTAAGTTCTTCCTAAATAACCCTGAACTCATTATATCAAAATTTTCATTAAAAAATTTTATGGAGGAAAGTTCCAGTTGAAAAGAAATAAAGGAAAGAGCAACCGGCATCAACCAGTTTGCTCTATCAAGGCACAAACATGGTAACGTATTGTCTTAGGCCATCAAACACATCAGGTTGATCCAATTCTCGATTTAGTGTGTAGGTCAATGCAATGGTGACAAACAAGAGGAGACACAAATGAAGTCGCAATTAATTCTATGTGACAGAGAAACTTCTTATGAGGAAGAATACTAATATGTCGTCTTTATCACCCTCTTACAGAGATACTTCTTGTAAGATCCGTGTACAAGTAACACGTAACCACCGGTTTTCTTTCTTTGCTTCTTTGCTTCTCATCATGAGAACTTTTCTTTTACATATCTGGTAAAGCCACCATTTAACCGAATTAGTATTTTCAGATCTATACCTGCATCACCAGGCTACGCTACGGGAATAGCTTCTCAGAACTACGCTATCCCTAGTACTTCCATGTTTGAGAGTTGATACTTACCCCCCTTTATGGCATGACCATTGTGTCACTTAAAAAGTGGGCTACCTAGACATAATAGAAAGATCCCTAGAATTCTTCCATGAAGAATGAGAATAAAATTTTAACTTGGAAAGCATACCAACTTGTGAGAAAAACTCCTTCTAATTGAATAATTGACAATGTTCTCCTGTAAGCTGTGAAACCATTAGTTATGGCATCTCAAGGAAAAATCTAGTAAGAAATATATAAACTTGAAGAGCACGCAAGCATATAGAAGCAAGTACATTGAGTTCCTTCGCAACCAAACTATGTATTGAAAATGATTACAAAAATCATTAAACTTGGATTATAGAGTAAAGTGAAAACTGAAAACAACTTCAAAGGCAATTATGAAAATGATTGCTCTTGGATTGTAGAGAAAAGTAAAAACAACTTCAGAAGCAATTGCCACAAACCCTTTTAGACTTTTCAACAGCAAAACCATATACAGCCCTAACTTACCGCATATTCTGACCACATTGTTTCCTGTGACCTCTTCTTTGGCAAATGATCAGATGTTCCACTTTTTGAAGAAGAAGGTTGCTGCAAAAGATGAGATGCTAATAAATATGTATGACCAGTAATAAAAGAAAAGGAGG